GACCGGATCTGTCATAGGAAATGTAGCAAGGGACCTCGGACTGAACGTGGGGGAATTATCTGTTCGAAAGGCCCGCATTGACAGCGATCTGAACCGTAAACGGTATTGTGACATAAATCCAAGCACTGGCGATTTAATTGTAGCTGAGAGGATTGATAGAGAGGCTCTTTGTGGCGAAAAGGCATCTTGCATCCTCAAATCTGAATTGGTCTTAGAGGCGCCACTTGTGTTACATCGAATTTCATTACAAATACAAGATATCAATGACAATCAACCTGTTTTTGCGAAAGACGAAATAAAAATAGAAATCAATGAATTGGCTGTAAAGGGATCCCGTTTCCGTATTTTGGAAGCACACGATCTCGATATTGGACAAAACGCTGTTCAAAGATATGTGTTGCAGACTAACAGTTATCTAGTGCTGAAAATGCAGACTAAATTAGATGGAGGCAGATTTGCTGAACTAGTGTTGCAAAAGGAATTGGATCGCGAGGAACAGCGGGAATTCCGATTACTACTTACTGCATTGGATGGGGGCAGTCCTAAAAGAAGTGGCACGACTACCGTGCATGTAATTGTCTTAGACGCTAACGATAACGCCCCGGTTTTTAGTCAACCTGTGTATAAAGCCAGTCTTCCTGAAAATTCTCCTTTATATACTGTAGTGGTTAAAGTGGCTGCAACTGATGCAGATGAAGGTCTAAATGGTAAGGTGACTTATGAGCTAAGTCGTATATCAGAGACTGGCAGAAGAGCATTTGATTTAAATCACATCACAGGAGAAATAAAGGTAATCGGACCTTTGGATTTTGAAGAAGAGTCCGTTTATGAAATGCGCGTAGATGCTAAAGACGGATATGGTCTTACCTCAGACTCAAAAGTAATAATTGAGCTGTCAGATGTAAATGACAACCCACCTGGGATTAGTTTAAAATCACTATCTAACTCCATACCCGAGAACGCGTCACCTGGTACAGAGGTGGGAATCATTAACGTGCAGGACAAAGACTCTGAGAATAACGGACAGGTCCGCTGCTCCATCCAACAGGGTGTCCCCTTTAAGTTGGTTCCGTCTATTAAAAACTATTATTCTCTGGTCACCACAGGACAACTGGACCGCGAACTAGTGTCCGATTACAACATTACAATCACTACCACTGACGAGGGCTCTCCACCTCTGTCCTCTTCTAAAAGTGTTCAGTTATCTGTAGCTGACATCAACGACAACCCACCTGTGTT